AATGAAACGAGTGAGGCAGTGAGCGTCAACGAAGAACAAGAGACGGATTCTGATGCCACTAAAACTGATGAGGATGGTCAGTCAGCAGTCAGTGGTGAGTGGGCACTGTTTATTTGCTTCTTTCTGTTGACTAACACTTTTCATTTTGCAAAATCTCACCAAAACACCGAACTAGTGGTCAACCNAACCAGTAGTCAACCGTAGCTCGAGCAGTGCATCAGGTGAACAACAGCTGAATGGTCGTCAAAGAAGAGCTAAAATCCACAAGTGTCAGCAGTGCGACAAAAGCTTTCCAACTCCATATAATCTTAATCGACACCAACTAGTGCACACTGGCATTCGAGCTTACCAGTGCCCAACATGCTCCAAATCATTTAAGGAGAAGAGTCATCTCAAACAACACCAACTAGTGCACACTGGCATTAAAACGCACCAGTGCCCAACATGCTCCGAATCATTTGGACAGAAGGCTACTCTCAATCGACACCAGCTGGTGCACACTGGTATACAAACTTACCAGTGCCCAACATGCTCCAAATCATTTGGGGAGAAGGGTANCACCAGCTTGTTCACACTGGCATTAAAACGCACAAGTGCACGATTTGCTCTAAATCATTTGGGAAAAAGAATAATCTCATTTCACACCAAGCAGTTCACACCGACTCTCGATCCTTTCAATGCTCCATTTGTGAAAAAGCGTTCAAATGGAAGCGTGGTCTCAAAAAGCATCTTCAAACTCATAATCAGCAGTAATCTCGCACCTTTGCTGCACTGTAAAGCCATCTTTCCTTCGGTAATTCATCTTTAGCTCTTTTCCATCATTTAATGACTACATACATAGCAAACCTTTTTGTCAACACCTTCTCACCAGTTTTTACACTGAACACAATTTTAAACTCAACATCACCAATAAAGTTTCTTTTGAAAAAGTTCATCCGCTGCAAATTCATTCAAAAGATGCTGTGCAGATTGCTCTCTCTTTATCCGGAAAAGAACAGAATTGTTCAGCAGAAACAAAGCTGTGATTTGTTTACTTCAAACAAAAGAAAAAGACAAATTGAGTTTAAATTGACTTTTTTCATTCCAAGACTCAACCTCCTCCTCCTCCTCCTCACTAGACAAAGATCCTCGCCCTCCAAAAGTGCTCGCACGTCTCTCGGTGGACGTTCTCTAACAGGTGGAAGGTGCTGTCGAGGGCCATCACAAAGCTCGATCCATTCGCATGGGCAGCCTCTGGCCAATGAACCACTCCTTCGCCGGCCATTTTCCCGCTCCGGGCAAAGCTCGCCCAGCTGTCGCGGATCGCCCTGCTCACCGCCCGGTCCGCCTCTGCCCGCTGGCCGGCGATGGTGAAGAGGCTGAAGAGGTCGTCGGCGTGGCAGACGGTGCCCGCCGCCCAGCCCTGCCGACAGGCGCGCATGATGTGCACCGCTGCCGGTCGGGTGAGGAGCCAGGCGTAATGACCTAAAACGCCACCCAAAGTGGGCTTGATGAACTGGCTCCCGAAGAGGAAGGTCGGACAGGTGATGGAGAAGTCGCCGTACGCCTGGTTGATCACCTCTCTGTGGAAGGGGGTGGGGTGGAAATAGCAAAATAGAACTCGTTAGAAAGAGGAAAAGAAAGACTAAATATGTAAACAAACCGAAAGTCGTTCAAGCTGCCAGAGTTGGAAGCCGAAAGATTCGCCCTCTGAAGGTAAAAATCCGCTGCCTCGGGACCGAAACGAGGACCGATCAGCTGGACAATGTACTCTCGGGTTGAGTTGAAGGTCAGAAAGTCTTCTGCCAGGCTGTCGTTGTTCAGCTCGGGAAAGCGGCCTAGCGCCATGCCGAAGCCCTCGTCGCGGACGGTGCCAAAGAGCAGCTGCACTTTGGCGTTGAATTCTTCAGGGTTGAGCAGCAGGTCGATTGGGCGCCTGGGAAGCAGTTCATCGCCGTAAACGGGCCCCAGCGAGACGCCCGAGTCTCGGGTGGCGTTGAGCAGCTCCTCTGTGGAACATTGGCGTAAACAGCCGTTGAGCAAGGTTTCCGGGTTCTTTTCCTCTGGTGGACAGCCCGGTACAAAAGCTGCAATTTTCGCCACACTTTCCAAAGCCTCTTCAACGCTTGGCGGCGAAAGCAGCACCCCAGACTGGAGGATGGCCCGACTGAAGAGTCCAACGCTTAGTGGAGATAACAACAGGCCGCTGACGGCCATCGAGCCGGCGCTGTTGCCGAAGATCGTCACCGAGTCCTTGTCGCCGCCAAAGTGGCCGATGTTCTCGGCGATCCAGCGCAACCCGAGAAGCTGGTCGTGCAGGCCGAGGTTGCTCACTGCCGAAGACGAAGATGAAGAAGTAGAACCCAAAAAACCGAAGGCATTCAGGCGGTAGTTGACGGTGACGACGATCACGTCGCCTCGGTGGGCGAGGTAGCGGCCGTCGTGGATGCCCTCGAAGATGGAGCCTGAAGTAAGAGGTTAGAAAGAAGTTAGATGAACTGTTTTTAAAAGATTCTAAAAAGCTTTAATTTTCTTACCGTACATGAACGCTCCACCGAAGAAGTAGACCATCACCGACCGGTTCGACTTTGGCTCCATCCGGCTCCAGATGTTCAGGTAGAGGCAGT